TCAAAGGCAGGATGGATGAAGTCCTCCTCAGATGCCGGCCACTGCAGGAGCAGCCAGCAGCAGAAGACTGAAGAGAGAAGAAAGAGAATGGCCAGGGCGATGGAAGGGCTTGCCCCTCCTGATCCTTACTTAGCTTTACTGGATGTGAGGGCTATGGGATGGAACACCCCACTGGTGAATCCTGGGGTCAGTTATCCTGCCTGCTCCTCCCCGCAGGTGCAGGGTGCTCTCTGCCCCCCTCCATGTGGGATCCAAGCTCAGCAGTGGCCTTGGTCTGCACACCAATCCCTGGCAGTAACTCTAAACATGAAGACTTATCACTGCTAATGCCAGATAGTTTATGAAAATGCTGCTAACTTCAGACAGAGCAGTTAATTAGAAGAGCTTTAGCTAAAAAGTAAAATCATTGAGCAGAAACAGCTCAATTTTACCCCAAACCAGGACAATGCAGGGTCCTTCTGTGCCATGAAACTGGTGTGGTGTTGCATGAGTACATGTGTGTAGTGTGTACAGTCTTCAGTGGTGCCTGGAATTTCATTTGGGACAACTTCACAAACAAAACTCAAGCACTGTGTATGCAGCTTAATCAGCATTGGGTTTAACTGAATACATTACCCAAAATATTTGGATAGAGACAATTCTGATAAAAATTGAAGGGGAAAAAAAAAAAAGAGAAATGTAACATCTGGGATATCCACTGCACAGACACAATGGTACTGTAAGGAGAGAGGTATTGATAGGCAAAGAGAAAAGAAAAACTCAACTGTGTCACGTCACTTCATAGGGTTTTTTTTCAGTGTCACTCCAACTCTACAGCTGCCAGTCATGCTGAATCAAGTTAATGTGGCAGACAGTATTTTTAACCGTTGTCTCTACATTTTTTTACAACTTTGAACTTCTAAAGCTCTAATTGTTTATAATTCTTTATAGCTTCAAGAGAACTTAAAAGCACAAAATGAATTCAACAAGGCAAGAAGTTAAGATTATATTTAAATTATTGGGTATGCAATATTTTTTAGTCTATCAAAGCTATGTGACTTGGAAAGCATGAAATGTTTTTAATTAATGCCCCTTTTGTAATTTATTTCCTGCGCTTAGACTTAACTACAGGCAGAAAAAAAAATCTGTGTCATTTTATGTACCTCTGCAACAGCATTGTTAATACAAATACAGCATCTAAGTATTACATCATTTAGTCTAGTCCAATAAACTTTTTTTTTTTGTGGATATTGTATTTTGGGTAAATCTATAAATTTGGGGAGTGGGAGATGCGACGGTAGCCTCGGGGGGGCTACTTCGAAGTCCAGAGGAAGTTGTTCTTGGATGCATGCGCATGCTGTCTCTCTTTCATTGTATAAACAAAACTGATGAAGACTCAGACATGTCAGAAGTGAA